ACATGAAACTTCATATTTGTGAGATGTTTAGTAGGAACCAATGAGCTTTGAGCTGAGAGCCACAGACAGGAAGTCAACAAGAACAAGATTAGTAGTCCAGAACTACAGAACTTCATTATAAAGCTGTTCGTCACATTTTAGTGTTATCAACAAATTTCAGCGTTTGTGATTCACATGTTGCACTTTGCCAAATTTCAATTGCAGTAATATTTTGAATATTTGTGCAGCTGTAAATAATCAGTAATTGAACGGTTACAGGTGTTAGCGTTGGTTCAGGGGGCTCACTGGACCCCCTACCGGCCGTAGCCAAAAATACATGTAGGGATTTATGCAGTTGTTTACTTGTTTATGTATTAAAAATGTTGATTTAAACTCAGATATTATGAACTACTCAAATAATGAAGGAGTTCACATTATGAAGAAATTAAAAAAAATCATTTTAAACAGAAAGTAGTACAAGCCAGCTCCTAAATATTGATCAGAGAGGTTCTGGGTTTTGGTCGGCCTAATAATCATGGAGATTCCTGTTATAATGTTCCCTAATATTAAATAATGATTGATAATAATGTAGTCTGGATTTCTCGATTTGTCTTAACCTTGGTTATAAGTTATTGGTTATGTTTGAAGTGATGGTATTTGTGTACATTTTTCTGACTCGACTCTGCTCAATACACTTGAACCACAGTAGAAACTTTTTATTGTAATCCTCGACATTTATAGTGAATGTGTATGTGACTCAGTGTATGACGTAGTGCAGAGGTCAGTAGCCTTTACTATCATAACAGCCTTTTATATAATGGGGCTTTCTCAACGCAGAGCGGGTGTACCAATAAGCCAGCAGCGTTTGTGGTGGAAGTAAATAAATCTGTCCACACACGATTCAATTCTTTGTTTTCCTCCAAGACATGCTGGGGAGACTGAAGACTAGCAGCTGTTGAGGTTCAGCAAATATATCGAGGAAAGGCGCCATGTCAGGATATAACGTATGACACACATTTCACTTTCTTACAACCGCCACTGGAGACCCAGTGTACATACATCAATATATAGAACATATAAATCAAAGCAAATTCCCCTCAAATGAATTTAGTAAAACTGTTACAAAGTGAACAAAGTGAAGCAGATTGAGAATAAAAAGAGGAAAAGCGGAGTGAGTCGTCCTTTAAAGGATGTTTTCTGGTTTGTGCAGGAGCTGAACAAAACCTCAACCTGATGTTCCCTCTGAATAATATCGACCTGATTCGCTTTTAGGTTCCTTACATGACAGTCGGGATATGAAAATGCAGCTGCTGCTATATTGATTATTAATCATTTAAAACCCGAACCCTCTGTTGTACACATTAAATTTCCTCTAGACTCTTACAGGTCTGGGTCGGGACCTGAACCTAAGCCGGTCTAATAGTGACCTTGTTACCTTCGGTGACCTCATTATACCGTCAGTACGGTCAGTACCGTCGGTGCTGTTGGTGACGTTGATAATAGGGGAGGAAGAAGTATTTTGGTAATTTTGTTAAAAATCATAAATCCTAATTCTCAGTTGTGAAAACAAAAAGTTGTCGACGGATATTTCCATTTGTTGACCTCGCTGTGTTTGTTTGTTTGTCCTTCACAGAGAGCGTTGGAGTGAACCAACAGTGGGTCGCCTGCAACCTACCCACAATGCAACACTCCCATCTGTCTGCAGGGTTACCGGGTGGGGGGGTGGGGGTGGGGGGTTTAGATGTTCACGAATCGATGTGTAAATGATACAAAAGAGAGTTATAAAAAACAAATCCACGACTTGAACAAAGCACCAAAACAACAACAACAACGCTGACAAATAGGAACCAATGAAACAAGTGATGATGTTGATAATTCATATTAATATAATCTGTGGAGAGAATGTATGTTTGTGTTGTATAGATATCACTTTGAACAGATATATAATATAGATCAACTGTTTATTCATGTTTCCTATTGATCCCCATCCTAAGCCCCGCCCCCTTTACAATGCCCTGCCAGATCAGATTCACACCAGCCAATCATAAAGCAGTTCAGACTGGGCTCAGATCAGATCCAAACCAGATTGAAACCGCAATCAGATGAATCCCAACCGACCCTGCGTCCGCCGACATCACCTCCCGGCTGTTTGCTGTTTGTCTTGCTGCATGTAAATATCAACACAGGAAGTGATGTCACTCTGGGGACGCAGTAAACCCAGTCTGGACTTCCTGGTGGCGGCAGGTGGAAACTGGATCCAAAATGGCTCCTCGTCATTACAGTTTGCACTGTTTGTGTGTTTGATTAACAAGCTTTGTTCTAATGTCTGTTACATTCCTGCGGCATAAANCTACTGGTTTCTACTGGTTTCTACTGGTTTCATCTGGTTTCTACTGGTTCTACTTCAACACACCAGCCGCTCTGAGGGATACAAAAACAAGAATTAAAGGATGTTTCCCAAGTTTTAGAAGCTGGTGACTACGTTTCCCCTTCCTAAAAATGATGTTAGCGGCTCCACAGACTACTGAGTCTACTGCTGGATGTTCTGCAGACAATTTAAATAAAAATTGGCTAAATTAAGTTTATTAGCTCTTGCTAGCTGGCTAGGCTACATTAAAGTTGCTGTTGCATGGATGAGATGTGAAATAAATCAACATATTTCTCTCTAAATAACTGTCCACCCCAGAAAGCTAACATGAAGACTTTAAGTAAAACAAAATGGACGGTTAGCATTTTCAGATTACACTTTATAAACGAATCAGCTGTTAGCTTATGTTAGCTGTGCTGCACTAGCTAACCTAACTAGCCAACATTAGCTACCTGAGGAAGGACCTTATAAGGAAGCTTCCTGTGTGTCCTTAAACTTTAACTTCCTGCTTCCTGAACAGGATAAATATAAAAACTAAGTTACAATCGTCAGACGGACGTTTCCGTCAGAGTTCAACTTGCTGTTTATTTGTTTTGGGCTTTCAGCCAATCAGCTGTTTCTGTAAAAGTCTGGAAAGTTTCTGGGTCTGAAAAATAAGAAAAAAACGTAATGCTTCTTCTTCGGTTGTTTTTTTGTTTTCGGGAAAGTGAAGCTGTTTTTAGCATCGGTATCTTCCTCCGCATGGTGACGTGTTTCTGCTCGTGTTGTACAGTAACTGATGATCAGTGTGATTCTACTTCCTGTTCTCCTGTACAGGTGTGTGTGTGTGTGTGTGTGTGTGTGTGTCCATACCTCTTCTATCTCTCTCTACCACTCACTCTCTTTTCTCTCCTCCTCCTCTTCATCACTTCTTTCCCTTTGATTGTTTCTTTCCCTCTTCCTCCTCCTTACTTTCTCCTTTTCAGTACTTCCTTTCTCTACTTCTTTGCTCTCTTTCGCTCCTTCTCCTGTTCCTCTTCCTCTTCCTCTTTCTCCTCTTCCTCACTCTCCTCTTCCTCTTCCTCACCCTTCTCTTCCTCTTCCTCACCTTCCCCCTTTGGTTCTTCGTGACTCTCCTCTCTGCCTCTGTGATGTAACTTCCTGTGTGATGATCTATTCCAGCATAAGTAACCATGGCGACGGTGTTGACAGTGCTGATGATGAGTGTGTGACTTGTTGCTATGGAGACGCCCCACCCCCGTGTTTATTCAGTGTAAAGTTTCAATAAACTGCGAACTCGTCTGTTTGTCTCTGATTCTGTTTATAAACAAATAAACAAACATCTTCATCTACGGTAGCTCCTCATCCTCTCTCCTCCTCTCTTCTCTCCTCTCTCCTCCTCTTCTCTCTCTCCTCCTCTCTCTCTCCTCTCCTCTCCTCTCTCTCCTCCTCTCCTTTCTCTCCTCTTTCTCTCCTCTCGTCTCCTCTCTCCTCCTCCCTTCTCTCCTCTTCCCCTCCTCTCTCTCCTCATCTTCTTCTTTTCTGCTCCTCCCCCTTCTGTCACTCAATCTCTAATTTTCCTCCTCCCTCTCTCCTCCTTGCATCCTTTCCTCCCTATTCTTCTCACTCCATCCTCCCTCCATTTCATAGATCCTCCCTCTTTTTTTCTTATTGATTCAGTCCCACTCTCCTCCTCTCCTTTGTCACAGCTCCTCCCCCCTCCCTGTCTCTCTCCCTGTCTCTCTCTTCTCTCGTCTTCTCTCTCTCTACTTCCTCCTCCGTTATTGTCGGACTCAGAGGAGACCAGGTCCAGGTCAGTAAGCATGTCGTCCTCAGTCTCCCCTGCTGCTCGGTACGCGCTTCTCCCTCCGCACGGCGTCCAGGTAGACGGACGAGTCCCACCCCTGACCCTCACCACAGAGAGAGTGTGTGCTGTGTGTGGGAGCTGATTTATCGTCGTGGTTGATGTGTCCGTCCATGGTAACCTGAGCAGTGATGGCAGAATGAGTCCGCCCCTGCTGTTTTCTTCTACCGTCTTGTCAACGCTGTTACACTCCCAGTGTGTGTGCTGTGTGTGCGATCAATCCTGCTCCTTGGTGTTCATGTAATTATGTGATTTATTGATCCAAGGTTAATCCAGGGGCTATGGAATAGTCTCGTGCTGTGTGTGTGTGTGTGTGCGTGTGTTTGTGTGTGTGTGTGGGTAGGCCCGCCGGGCTGTGAGGGGAACGAAGCCATCTTCATTTTTTAAATCCTGTCAGCCATTAAGCGACAGGAGAAGTAACCCAGCGGCAAGCAGGACCAGTGTGTGACACCCAGGCTACGTCGGTCCTCCTGAGGGCTCAACCCTGTGTGTGCACAAACTTGTTTGTCTGTTCCCGTTGTGAGGACCGATGCTTGAGTTTAAGCAGTGGGAGCATTTTAAGAGCAGTGACATTAAATTTGATTTGACTTAAAACATGTTTCATTTAGCGTCCACCGTTGTTTAACTTTAGAAGACTAAATGTCTCCGCAGATTCCGTTTTTTAACCCTTTACATACACATTTCGCAATCATACTCAAAATCATCCAATCATTATGTTTCCTGTAAACTAAATGTGAGCACGTGCTTCATGTC